AAGGCTGCTGCTGCTTCCTTCCTTCTTAATATAGGCACAGTGAAAAAAAAACCTCTTTTATTCATTTATGGCTTTTCTAGAAGAAGTAGGATGAATAAAAAAGAAATTTTTAACCGTCATTCTCGTTGCTATTTGCTTCATCTCCATTCTTATGTCTCTCTCTCACTTTCTCTCACCCACACACCTTATTTCGCTATAAGATGATAAAGAAATAAATGAAAATAAGAAATGATTTTTTTGTGAAGCTATGCTAGCGACGTTCACATAAAGAGAGAACATTTTCTCCCTGAAATCTATCAAATTTTCTTATCAAGATATAAATTAAAGTCAGTTAAGAAAGTAAAAAGATTTCTAAAGATAGAAAAAAAAAAGTCTCTCTCGTCGTCGTCGTCTTCTTATTCAAAACTTGAGCAGAGTGCTTTTTCACCATTTTTCTCACACACCCTTATTTCGTAACACCAGCGCACCAGAGCAGCACACAAAAAAAGAACTTTGCAAAAAAAAGTATACATACACACAGCATTAAATTGTAAAATTATTTTTCTCTTATGTTTCGGAGATGAAAATTGCTCCCTGATAAAAAAAACCTTGTGCTGTATGTGCATTCTGACTCTCTCTCTCTCTCTCTCTCTCTCTCTTTTCCTCTCGCACTTTCCCTGTTGTGAAGCTTTGATTATAATTACGTACAATGATGGAAATAGAAAATTATGATGAGATGAAATTTGTTGTTCTGATTTTATCGTTAATACAGGCGCAGACTCACTCATACCATTGAGAAATGGACATTTCTGTTGTTGTTGTTGTTATCATCCATACCTACCATATCAGACCATAGCTGGTTCCTTTTTTTTGTTAAGTTCATATATCTTTTATTTTCATCTTTATTTTCAATTCCAATTTCAACAATAATAATAACACACACAAGTTTTCTACTTCTTCTCGTCTCAATTCCTTTTTTTTTGCTGATATCCGAAGAGTTGTGAGCGAGGCAAAAAAATGGAAAGTTTTTCATCTAATTTTCAATGCGAGAAAAACTTTTACATTTTTTTTTTTATTTTATTCTTCAAACTGAAAAACTAAAAGCAGCATGAATATCAGAGCAAAAAAAAAAATTATTATAAAGTGCTCGTTGTACCAGAAGCATGAAATGTTTTTCAAACAATATTTTTTTTTTCATCTACAATTGTGAGACAAGATGAGAATTGAGTGAGATGGAGGGAGAGATAGAGTGCAGAAAATATATTTTTTTGCTTGTAAAATAATAATTTTTATCAAACAATATGAAATATTTTTTTTTGTTCAGTTCCTCTTTCCCGTTACTCTTTTCAATCGCGATTTGTAACGAAAAAAATAAAATAAAACAATTGTGAAGCTGAAAACAAATAGTTGGGACATGTGGTGTGTTTTAAGGAGGTTGGGGGTTGATTTCATTTAAAGATCATATTAGATACTGATGTTTTGAGTCAAGTGATGGAATTTTAAGCTTAGGAATCAGACAGTAGGTACCTACAGTAAGCATAGTTCTGGTTGGAATATTCTATTGGCACAGCATATAACATTGATTTTTTTGACCTATCTTGATTCATAGTCTCGAAATCTTTATCAAAGATCTTAAACAAAATCTCATTCAAAATGGTTTGGAACTACTTTAACTGTTCATTAGCTAAAGGACCAATAGTTGCGCATGTAACTTATGTTAATTATATAGCTTAAGGAGTGAGAGCTTGGAAAGTAAACGTCCAAGACCAAACCTTAGCTAACAGTTTAAATTGAGATTCGAACCACTTCTCTAAAGATTTTAATGCTCTGTAACCTAATAAGAGACTCTATTTAATACATTCTATTCATAAAAAGAATCATGCGAGAAATTCCCTAAGTTTAAACTTTAATCCATTATTGCTATGTAGGTTTTACAATAACTGACAGTTGAATTACAAAACTTCAATGCCATTGAGTCAATTGAGCTCATTAAGGACACTAAAATACTTGGTTAGACATTCATTAAACTTCCCGTGTGACAAAAATTACAAAAGCTTATCCAAATCGAAACTTTTGTGTCACTCGAGCTCTAAATGCCCCACACAAATTTCTAATTACTTCCCTGATTAGAACTTCAATTTTTTAACATGAAATAAAACAATATTCATTATTTTGTCATTCCTTAACTAGTTCTGTCAATAATGAAGATTTTTATTTTTTTTTTTCATTACTTCAGGGAATGAAATTGAGTGGAATTTCAGGAGCGACTGCTTACATAATAGAGAAAATTATTTTATGTGCGAAAAGTATGAGGCATGAAGGAAAAACTTCAAGTGTTGCTAAATTACATAAAAAAAATATTCAAAACTTTTTTACCCAATTTAAACATTTCGTTAAAAGTTTGTTAATAGAAAATTTTTACGTGAAAAATCCTTAACGAGATTTTTTTTCTTTCTTTTACTTTTATTGAAAAGACTTTTTGAACAAGTTCTCAAGTGAGAAAGTAAATTTGACAAAAAAAATACGCTTCTAAAACTATTATAAGATTAAAAGTTGGGTGTGTACAGGAAAGTAAAAAATTAGATTTTCATCTAGTCAACAACTTCTATTTTCTGTCATGCAGAACAGATTAATCATTTTTGTAGTACTTGTCAATTTAGACACTTGAAAATTAAAATTTTTTGGGTGTGAATATTTTTACTTGAGTGAGATACAGTCAGTGAAGCTGTTCAAGCTGTTCCTTTATTAAAATATTTTAGTTTATTTTAATTGTTAAAAAATTTGTAAAACTAAGGTATGAACTAGTTTGCAAAATTTGAAATCTTGAATAGTTTAAAAACTTCAAACCTTTAATCTCAAATATCAATACTTTAACTTTAGTTCTACAGTTGGTAGGCTTCTTATAGAGATTGACTTCATCAAGTTAAAACTTTGGATCTGTCTCTAAAATAGAAACCTGTCAACTCGGTTTAGTTCTTTTTATAACACAACAGGCAGTCAAGTCACCAAGTCAATTTCTGTCTTATTTCTAAACTTACTTACTTACTGTTACCTTGTTCCTATGTGGAACTCAGGTTACAAGAAAAGGCTTTCCATCTGACTTTCTTGCTGGCTTTGTCACCTAGTTTGTACAATATCTTTGTCTGCACATTAAACAGCTTTTGGAGCTACTGGACAACTTTTTCCTTGTAGATTCCAACCAAACTCGATTTCCAAACTATCTGAGCATATTAACACTTTGAGCAGTGGTTTTAATTATAATAATACCAAATGGGACTAGAACCTAGTATCATAAATATTTTTGGTTACATATTCTTAACATTGATCTATCGGGGTTGTCTATGATTTAATTACAAGCTAGCTTAAACCTAGCTAGTTTATTCAATTAGCTTATTACAATTTGAATCCATCATATTTTTTACATCTACAACTTTAGATAGCTATAGCTTTTGATTTTACGCTATGTAATCTTAATCTTCGTTTCAAAACATCAAAATTGATTGATCTGACCTATTCCTCAACCTTCTTTCTCCAAAAAAAATCTCACATAAAAAAGAAGTTCATTCATCTATAAACATCTGGGAAAAAAATATAAATAGAGCATGCTATAAATCCTCCCTGTCTGTTGAATTTAACTCCGTATGAAAAAAAAAGAGCAATAAAGTTAAACAATATTTGATGTTGAAGCGTTGATAATGCTACATCAATAGCTCCAACTCTTTGCTTAAGAACAAAAATTTCCTCTACATTCATAATGAGTCCTCACATAGAGCATAAATGAATATATGAAAATTTATATTCAGTATTCAATCTATTCATTCATAAAAAGTATTTTTTTTTTGTGTTTTAAAAAATATGAGCATACGATACATTGTGTGTTGATGAAAGAAAAGGAGGAAATGCATTCATGCAAGCCTTCATTCGAACATAAATTGTATGAAATATAGCAGCAGCAGTAGTATCAGCATTGCAGTGTGTGTCAATTGATGAGATCCGTAAAAAAAAGAAGAGATATATAAAAAAAATTGTGAAGTATTGCCGAAGTGAAAAAAAGAGAATTTATAACAAGGCACTTGATATCATCATCACCCAATCCGCCTTTTTTTTAAAACACTCTTGCTCTATCTTAACTAAATCAAATAATGAAAAAGCTCAACAATGACACAGAGATAGAGTTGGAACGGGAAAAAGTGAAATATAAAAAGGCAAACCCTCATTTTTTACACATCCCCACATATATATATTTTTTTTTCTCTTGTATTTTCCATTTAGATTTGAAGTCAGAGGCAGTAAAATTGTAGTATAAAAAAATTCACATATTATATTGTATAAAAAATAATAAGAGAATGAGAAAAAAAAGTAGTAACTTACCATAAAAAAAAGAAGCGACCTGAAAGCTAGGAAACTGTAGTTAAGAGTGACAAAAAGAAAATTTATTCTATATTACATTCATACTGACATATAAAAATAAAAGTAAAAAGTTACAAAAAAAAAAATCAAATAATAGAAAGAAGATATAAAGCGCGAAACAAAAGAACATAGAGAGGAAAGAAAGGATAGAGTATGAAACATCGTACGAAAGTGGTTCATAGAAACGGTAGAGCATTAATAATTACTTGAGACAAAAGGAAACTCTAACCACTTCAGCAAGACATACGACATACATATAAATATACAGAGACAAAAAAAATATATTCTAACTTTGGGGTCGTAGAACAAGAAGTAGGCAGCAGCAGTGCATATAATAAATATCAAAATAACAAAAAAGACGAAAAGTTTCGAATGGAGTAGCAGTGACAAAAGGAAAATAGAGAGAGTGCGAGAGAGAGCAGGACACTTTTGACAGTTAGTTTGTTGTGTTTTTGAGAGGAGAATAGGATATAGAAAGTGGCACTTACAAAAGCTGTAATATAATAAAAGAAAAAAAGGAGAAAAACTCTAAAAGATCATCAGACAAGTTGCTGTTAAGAAGGAAATAAGGAAAAATAAGGAGATAAAATAGGGAATAAAGCTTTCTATAGCATTCACTCATTCTGGCTTCGGCATTACAAAATACAGCACAAACAGCCTCAACTGCATCATCAAATAATAATAGTGAATCGAACGATAAAAATAATTCTCTAACACTTGATTGTTGTTGCGTTCTTGTTCAAATAACTCCTGTGGCAACGGGAAAAGGATCGCAACCTGCAACTGTAGGCGATGGAACGAAGAAACATGGAGATGGGATAAGTGGAAGTAAGGCGAATGGGACGGCACCTATATGTCGATGCTCGAGTGCCGTCACCAATCATATTTCATCGCGTAATGATAACGTAATTGTCGGTGCTTCTTCCTCAAATATTTCTCAAACCGGTGCAAATGCAAATGCTACAACTTCCACACCATCAACAAGCAAATCGGTAATGATGACTGGACAATCAATTGGTGCCAAAAGTAGATCCGGCTCATTAGATCACTTACTCTTCATAACAGAACAATTAGCGCAACATACGCAGCAGCGTCAAGAGAACAGACATACAGGGCGTAGAGAAATAACAGCAGATGATCTCTTTAATTATCTTAAAGATATAAATGGAGATTTAAAATTTGTAGATAAGAAAAGATTAGCTCAATTATTATTACAAAATACTGAAGAGATGGTGGCGCAACAGCATCAAATGAATCAACAACAGCAGCAACAAAGTGTTACTGGTACCATACGGAAACATGCGCCAGTAAGTCGTCAAGAATCCGGTGCAACGAGTGAGAAGCAAATACAATTCGCAAATCATGTCGGTCCAACTCCACCGTCTACAGTTACAGTGGATGTGCCAACGAAAGGAATTTTAAATACGAGAGGAAAATCTGGAACGAAATTTGGAAGTGGAAATAAGGTTGAAGTTATAGATACACAGCAACAGAAAGAATTTAACAACGAATGGATTAATCGTTCACAATTTCAACGAGCATCATCGAGGTCAGTTGAAGTGTCGTCAACATTACCAAGACAGGATCAGCCAGAACCATCGACATTATCGTCGAGCAAGAAACATCATAAGCATCATCAGAGACACTTTTCGGGACCTGAAGATTTGGAGGCGCTTAAGAAAGACATTTCACATTGGCTCGAACGATTACCATATAAAAAAGATGCAGCACTGTTGGATTTGATAGATACAGCTGCTCGACTAAAACATGAACAACATCAGTTTTCTACGGCAACTGGTGGTACGAAGACTAAAACATTAATTAAAAATGAATTTGCAGACATTATACGTCCACCTTTGCCACAAAAACAGAGAGCACAATTATCAACACAAACATCACATTCAACAGGCATGCAACAGCCGCCTCCACTTCCAATGAAACAATTTCAACGACAAAAGTCTGCCGATGACCTGCGTGTCCTTAAAAATAATATACTAGAATGGTTAACAAAGCAACAGATTATGAATCAACAAAGGTTACATCAACATCAACAATTACAACAACAAATGGTGCCGTTAAAAAGTGCCATTGTAGAGTCGTCTAAAACTAGTGAATCAAAATCTCAAGTTGCACCCCCTCCATTACCCCGTAAGACCCATCAGAAGCTTCACAAGCGTCATTCGTTAGGTCCGAGTGAAGATTCGTCCGAATTTCATGATATTCCACCCGATTGGATACAAATTCCAATTGAGAAGCTCAATAAGATGCGTGAAGTTCAGAAAAGCTGTGCGGAGATAAGTCGAAAGGGTAGTGGAAAAGAGAAATCCCTAGAGAGAACACATCATCGATCGATTGAGCGTAAATTACGTCATTCGGCTAGTGAGGTGGTTCAATCGAATGTAGATAGAAACCAAAAGCATCTTCAGCAGCCACAAACACAACAAATTCAGTATCAATTAATACAGCACACACAACAAATGCCTATGCAAATAACACCACAACAAAATCAGCTACAGCAAAAACAACCGCAATATCAAATAATTCAACGGTATCGTGAACCGTCAGTTAAGAGTATAAAACATCATAGTCATGATCATCATGAGAGACCATCGAAGCGTGATAAGCCGAGACATCATAGACAGACGCAACGTTCAGCTACGACAAGTAATATGTTACCAGGAAAGCAGATTAGTAGCAGTATAGCAGCGACATGTAGTAGTTCACATCATAGTGGAAGTGATTTAAAGCCAATATACCAATCGACAACTTCGCTTGTGCGTTGCGATGATCCTATGTGTCCATTATTGCCTATATGTACGGATCCAAATTGTTATCTGAATGCCAATTCTCATTACGATACTCCACGACGTGCCTCTTTACCACTGCGTTCAAATGAAATGCTACAGACAAGTGATATCTGTACAGATCCAAGATGTTGCGAGACATTACCCGTGTGTACAGATCCTCGTTGCTGTGGCAGCACAATTGCTCGCTCAAAATCAAAAGCCATTGGCGTTAGTGCCCAACATAAATTCAAAAGCAATTCACTGCCACGTTGTGTTGAATCAACACGACGCACAGATCTCTTTTCGCCGGGTTTATCAAAAGACGAATCGTATTCGTCACTACCAAAATCTGCGACACTTTCGTCAGCCACTGCTCAAGCATCTGCACATCATCATGATAAGTCTACTACAACTACTATTACTACTATTAATAATACTACAACTAATGTTCATAGTCATAGTAAATCAAAACATCATCGTAATGGTAACAATAAGCTAATGAAGTCAGCATCGGCTGCTTCCCTAAACTCACGACGTCGTCGCCATAAAACTGTTCATTTTGGTGAAAATCTATTACGCGAAGTGTGCCAAAATCGTCAGCTTATTAAACCGTTAACAGATCAACCGTCCAATAATTCGACATTACAGCCAAATATTCAAATGTTATATAATTTTGTAGAGGGTGTATTGAGTGCCTGGGTAGATGAGGAAGATGATGATAATATCAAATCGGGTCCCGATTCGGAACCTGAACGTGGTGCCATGCTTAAACCAATGCATAGATGCAATAGAGCTCGCTTACAGACAATTCGACGTGTTGTTAATGAAGCAGCAGCTCTAAAAGGCACCCTTAAGCTTGGCAACTCACGCTATCGCCATCGACATTGGCGTGGCACGGCAAAAGACTGTAATGAGCGATTCCTTCGGAAGGTAAATTTTCATTTAATTCTGTGAATGTTGACGCCTCCTTTCACCTCTCTTTCTCTTTCTGTTTTATACGGAATTTATATGATAAAAATACACAAAAAAATATAATTTTTTTTTATATTCACGCTTTTGTGTCGTATGATTTAGTGAGACATGTTTTCATAATAATAACTTTATCTGCACTTAAGTGCCCGTTTGATAAAAAATTCATTTTCATAATGGAAATAATAATTCTAAATTAACGAAAGAAAAAAGTTCTAGTCGTCTAGAAAATAGCTTCGCAAAAAATCAACAAGAAAAATTATAAATTACTATGAAAAGAAAAAAGTTTTTCCTTTTCACATGCGGACATATATTTATGCTTTATTATTTTTATCTCATTCATATTTCCTCTTGATATTCCTTTGTGCAATTAAGAGATTGAAATTATTTTTCTTGATTTTTAGGCACCTCTTTTGGAATGTTTTTGTTTGGGAGGATTAATTTATGATTCTAACCTTAAATTTCGTAGGATTCTTTAGAATTCTTATTCGTTGGTCAAGTTTATTTGGTCTCAAACTGAAACATATCAAACTTAGTCTTGTTCACTATTTCAACCTAGTTAATTAAGATTTCAGACTCCTAACCTCAAATTTCATTGAAGAACAGTTCATTCAGAACAGCAATAATGTTGATTCCTTCATTGTATCTAATTGATTATTAAAGCTCTATTCATGGTATTCCAACGATGTGAGGATTGTTCGTCGACAAATGTCTATTCTCATTAAAACTCTGCTTTTCTTCTTCTTCTTTTTAATGGATAGAAATTCCAATGTGAAAAATAATGAAAAGTTTTCTTGACTGGATTCTCTTATTGATTCACCATTAAATAAAGAATAGAAAGGAAATTTTTAAAAGAATATCGAATCAATTCGATGCACTTACTAATGAATAGTATTTTTTTTATATAACATAAAAAAAATTAAGAGATAAAAAAACTTTCTTATTGTTCATTGAAAAGTTTTCAATAGAATAAAAATATATTTTTTCATAAAATCGACAATTACCAATTAGAAACACAAGACGTTTGATTTAATTGACTTTCGACTTTTTTGTAGATTTCAGTTGAATATAATGATAATTCAAAAGTTTTGTTTGCGCAACTATTCATTGATAGCTTTCTTAATGTTACCAAGGCTTAATTGAATTTTTTTTGGAAGCACTGAAAACATCGTTAATTTTATGTGTTTTTCTTAGATTTACATATTGAGATCTTCAAGCTGTAAATTAATATTTTTTTCGGACTTAGTGAAATGTTGTGAAGTAATGAAGATGGGTTTTTGTTTTTACTCCAATTTCTTAGAAGATATAATGAGTTGCTATGGATATTTTGGTGAATTTTGTGAAAACTATTGGTATGCAATCAAAAAGTGAAAGAATTCCTTGAGTTTTAAATGTCTAGCATTTTATATCTAAGAATCTGATGAGTATGATCCTATAAAGATCATAATAATCAAATAATTCAATTAAAAACATTACTTGAATCAGTTTTGATAGTTCCGAATAAAGCTATAAACAAAGGGGAGTAAAACTACACTCGATAAATTAAACCAATAAAATTTTAATCTGAAAACTTCGTTATTTTAAAAGTCTACAATTTTGTAGGAAATTAAACAAAAAATGACCAATTTTAAAGTAGAAGTAATCAAAATTCAGTAAAATCCCAGCATATTGATGCATTATCTCAAAAATCAGCAACAAAAATGGGTGTGACATCCACAATAAAAATAATAATGCCAACAAAATCATAAAGTTCCAACAAAAAGTAATAAAACTATTGCGAAAAATTTCTCATTCCAAAATAATAATAATGTTGCGCAAGTTAAAGGACCTTCAACGCAATAAAACACTATTAGCAACTGAACTGAAGGAAACATATCCAATAATGAACACTTCATATTTCTAAGCTACTTTTCTCGCCATTAATATGCCAATCTAATACGATTTCTTATTGCTAGCGTATGTGCAACGTATACACATATGACATTAAATAAACGTTCATATTAGTCGTGATAAGCATTTTATTTAGACTAATAAAGTTAGCATTATTGTCACATTTTTATTATACGACTTTCCTAATATTTTCTCCACACAACACATACATTTCGAGCATAAATTTAATGAATTTATTTTTATTGTACTGGGGTTTATAAATTATAAATGTTATCTCGCATAATGATGCGTCTATGGCATTAAATTTCTCATTAGTCAAAAATTATTTTTCTAGTCAAATGAATTCAATTTAATTTGATTGAATAATTAATGAACAAAGTTTTGATAAATGCAAATCTGCAACTCATGAAAAATAGTCAATTTTAATCAGCACAAAACAATATTTAAATGATGATGAATGTTTTTGTGATGGAATTTAAAAAAAAAATTTACAATTTATTTTTCCCATATTTTACAATCGAAATAAGAAACTTATTTTGCTTTAAAAAGGAAATAAAGGAACTACGAACTTCACAAACAACAACATAAATATTTTTTGCAATAAATTTATCGTGCTTTTTGTAATTATTTCTTCCTTCATTTCCTCTTTTTTAACCAAAATAATTTTGCTACATAATAAATATGTTGCTACTCTCTCTATTTTCGAGTTCTGGACTGTAAACATGAAACATTTGCAATTTTTATAATTTTAAAAATTAATGATGGGTGTTGATTGTTTTACAATTTGTCTGTTGATGTTGATTTTGGGTTAGAATGTTTGCTGGATGATTTGTGGAGGAACAGCTAGTGCTTGGTGGATATAATTCTCAGTTTTAACATTGATTTGGAAGACACAGTGAGTTTTAGGATAATATGAGATCTTCTTCGTCTACTTTTGGGTGCTTTAGAGTTGCGAAAGAACATAATAGAGCCCTGAATTGACTTGAATCGTCTTTAAGTCAATTGAAACAATAAAACTACGTCGAAGTGCTTTTAGTTCCATTGCTATTGGGATAGTATTTAGGTTATGGTTTGATTTCTTGAGACACACTGAAGTGCACTGAACAAAAGCGTTGATCAACCAAAATTGTTGCCTTGATAGTGTCATTGCAAGTGTCAGGAACCAAAGTTCTATTAGATAGGAACAAATTTCAGTTGAATGTGAAACTTACAATTTTATGTCGATTGGCTTGTCTACTTAATTCGATTCCGTTCAATTTGCTAAGGATCTCATTACTCTAGCTGAAGCTTGACAGAAAAAATGACATCAGTACGACAATTTTACTCCCTCTAAAACTTAGTTCTCATTCCCTGCTAGACATAATTTATTATTCCAAATAATGCGCTTGTTAGCTACAATGTAATAAAAAGTTTTGTGCCAGTTCCCATGCAACCCCATCATTACAAGTCCATAAATTTAAAATGTTGCTTTAGTTTAGCATTAAAATCGCATTTAAATCATATAAAAAAAACGAGTCTAAATAATTTAAAATAAGCAAGTTGAGAAGCTATGAAATGAAAATTTCGTGTAGACATCCATTCAAAGTATAATCATACAGTATACGTTTATGTATATGCAAAAAAAAATGTAATATATTTTTATTATACCGCTACATGTAAAATTAATATGTGGAAAATATTTGTGCTAATGCATCAGAAAATTATAATTTAATGTGCGATGAAATGAAATGGAATGAAAATCGCTACATAACACAATTATAATATCCCTGTTTTTCACAATTTCATTTTCCTCTTCTTTCTCTCTCGTTTCATTCGCTATCATCCCCGGCATAATCTATCCGTGTTCAACATTTATTGCCACCCAATTTTTTTTTTCCTGCAATCTCAATCATCCGTGCCATCGTGGAAATATTATGTTCACATGTAACATTCAACAAACGATGACGATGACGACAAAAAAAATAAACATTTTTACAGATCAGCGACGATGATCGAATGAGTTTAACGACCGCGATATCGGATGAGGATGATGGTGAAAGTATCATGGCATCACCATATAAAGCAAAGGCGACTGGTACAGCTGCGGCATCTTTTAATTGTACGGGTGCAGTACGTAAAGCTGGGTAAGTAATTAAAATCTCCGTTTGTTGCTTATCTATTTCGAGAATGAGAATAAATCCCCTCGATAACATTGTAAATAGGCACTGAAAAAAGGGGTGAATAAAAGTTTATCTCCTTTACATCCTTAACCATTCCACAATGCCCAATCAACGTGAAAATATTTACCATCGCAACAAAAATCATAAATTTAAAGTTTGTTTTATTATATCGATGAGAAAATTTCGGAAATAAAAAAAAGAGAAGAGGAAGAGGAAGTAAAATGCTCTCGATACACATTGGGGATGAAAGTCTTGTACATAAAATATAGATCCACATCTCAAAGAGATATAGCATTTTTAAAACGCCTCTAAATTTAAAAGGAAAGGAAAGAAAAAAAAAGTTCTCGACAGCATAAGCAGCAGCGGAATGAGTGAATGAAAGAAAAATGCCTTTAATTTACGGTTATACTCATCCATAAACTTTTTCGTTCCTTTTCTTTTCTCTAACAGCTTTTTATCAGTTAAAAAATGGCTATTGCGCAAAAAGCATCAAATTGAATTGGCTCGTAAACGCGGCTGGAAGGGATATTGGGTATGTTTGAAAGGTACCACATTGCTCTTCTATCCATGCGATTCTCGTGAAGGACGTTCTGTTGAAGCAGCACCAAAGCACTTAATCATCGTCGATGGCGCAATTATGCAACCAATTCCCGAGCATCCCAAACGTGATTACATATTTTGCCTTAGCACCGCATTTGGAGATGCTTATTTATTTCAAGCACCATGTCAAGTGAGTATGAATATTATTTGTTTGTGTGTGTGTATGTACATGCAATCGAGACGGGAAATAAATTTTATTTTGCATTGCACTCAAATGCCTTAATTGATTTCCATTAGAGGAGATGATAAATATTTTGAACTCCATCTCTGTCTCCCACACATACTTTTAGCTTTTTATGAGATTCATGCAATCTCAATTATGTTCTATTTCTACATATAATACAAATTGAACATACAGGATAAACAACATAAAGTTGATGATTTTCATCTCTATTCATTCACTTTCCAAAATAATACGTATGTTTATTAGAGGTTCCGTTTGTGTTATCCGAACAGTCAAATCAGTTGAAACAATGGCACGAAAATTGTGTCCCAATTTGTATGGCTGTATGGGAAAATTATCAGGAATATTCAATCGTTTTCAAACATTTATGAGAATGGAAAGATTGTAGTTGTTTGATTACATCCCATTTAAATTTGTAGTTCTGAATTGGGAATTTTTGTGCATTTATTTTGACTTTAATCAAATGTTTTGAAGCTTATAGAAGTTTTTTGGGGCTGGACTTTAGCTAAAGATCTTTGGTTTTAATATAATGTAAACTATTTAAGTAGCATAGCATAGCCAGTGGGTGTTTGAGCCTGCGAGGAGTTTAAGACTTCTTATATGAAACTGGATGTAAGGTAATAGCTCTGGGATCCAGTCAATCTCTTAAGGATGTCAAGTAACTTGCTTAATAGCTACTAATCTGGGATAGTTTGAATTTTTTACATGCAAATTTCCACATAAATTTTTACAGCTACTTCAAAAAAATTCCAAGCTAGACAAGAAAAAAAGCATGCGTCTGTCTGGAACCTCCAGCAAAACTTCATGTCTATGCATTACGTACATTTACTTACATATATTTACACAACTTCTTATTTCAATCAACTATCAAAATAATAATAGTAATGATAATGATAATTCTTACTGAAATGGGTTATGGAAATGCAGGCAGGATATGGTATATAATGCAGAAGTAGTTAACAGAATGAGTTCTTTACATCAAGGCTAGATGATGTTCTAAAAATAAAATAAATATGTATGCATGTATTTGTTGTTTATTTTTATCCTCATTCAAACTACAGAACATTAATATACATACTGCTATTTTTATGTTTCCACAATGAAAGCTTCTATGTGCTTGAATTAAAGAACTGAGAAGTAAAAACGAAAAATTATGTTAAACATATAATACAACAACCTCCCTCATGTCTCTATTTTTTTTTTCTCTCCCGCACAGGTGGAATTGGAAAATTGGGTCAACAGTATTCATTCAGCTTGTGCTGCAGCATTTGCACGTCATCGCGGTAAAACTGGAACATTGCATCTACTACAGGAAGAAATTTTCCGTTTAGATAAAGCAATTGAATCGGTATGTGTGTGTGTGTTTGTGAGCCTCCAATCCCCTTGTTTTTGCTTCTCGTGTAATTTGCACAAGAGATTAATATGAGAATATCTTGTTGTTGATGTTGACGGTGAGAAGAGAAGATAAGGCAACGACAGCAGAATATATTTTTTACATGCTGATGCTGTTGCTTCTCACTGTAATTTTCATCATCAACATTATGAGGATTTAATTTAATCTCTTTTTTAAAAAAAACTAAATCGACTTTTTTCCATTCCTTCCTATCATCTCATATCATCGTCGTCATCATATGTATGGATGATGATGGGATGGCGACAAAGTAATAACAAGAATAATAATTTTTTTTTATAATATTCCTATATAGGATCACAAGTTGAAGCATATGGCAGATTTACAATCGAGCGTTGTAACCGACCAGGACACTCGTGTTCAAATTACACAACAGATTATAACATGGGAGGAGAATCTCGAGCGCTTACATTGCGAGCAATTTCGTTTACGTTGTTATATGGCATCGTTGCAATGTGGTGAACTACCAAATCCAAAAGTAATTTCTTACTTCCTTATTCTTTTTGTTGAAAGCTTGTTTTTTTGCAAATTTACATTGCTTTGGATGGGATATTAAATTGTTTATCCCATAAGCTCATAATTTAATGCTGTTAAAGACGAAAAACATTTTTTTTTAAATCTTGACTTGAAAGATACTTTTGCAAAATATGCGCTTTCATACAGAAAATGTAGAGCACACAAGATGCTCACCCATTTCACATTACTTTATACTTTAACTTTTCCTTTCTATTTTTTTTATGTGCTCACTTAATTGCAGTCACTTCTTACTCACGTTTCACGCCCTACGAAAAATACATTGAATAAGCTGGGCGTTTTTACTGTTTCATCGTTCCACGCATTCATCTGTGCTCGTTCACCATCATTGTTAAATAATTTGCTGGCAGGTCGTGGAGCCACAAAGAGACGTCCTCCATTGTTATCACGTTCAAATAGTGGATCTAGTCGACGTTCAATGCAGGTTTGTGGATAAAGATATAAATTCCCCAATTCTTTTTTTGTTAACTTAGTGACTAATAATTTACAAAACTTTATCCTTACCTTAACATCCTTCTGAAAATGAGCAGATGAGCTCCCGTGATGATTCGGAGAAAAGTTATAATGTTCCGTTGCCAGATAACAGTTATGTTACTGTATATTTGCGTGATTCAATGACAGTCGAAGAATTTCTGGCAAGTGCATGTGTTAGAAAGAATCTTAATCCGATGGAACATTTCGTTCGTGTTAAGAAGCGTCGCGAAATGGAAGATCATAATTACTTTGTACCACACAGAAATGATTTAATCGAAACCTACGTAAGATATTTTTATTTATAGTGTGTGTATTTAAAGATGTAATTTTAATTCCACATATTTTAATTACAGTTGCACACCCACGAGATTGTTGAAGTTTGCGCTAAAATTTTATATCAAGTTGAATTGCAACGTTCGACATTGGAGCAAATGTGGGGCTTTTCTGTTGAAGCTGAACTCATTGAGAATGCTGATCGTCAAGATGAATTATGTTGTTATGTTAGTCGTGTTGAGGACAAGAGTGTCGCACTACAAAATGGTATGTGAATATTTTTTTATCATCTCTTCTACGTGCTGAATTTATTGGGTTAAAAATCTGAATTTTTAAAATGACACTTGAATTATTTTCTCTGTCCTAGAAATAGAATACTCAAAATTTCATAAAATATGCATGGAATTTTAATAAAATATTTCTTGGGAATGTGATGTCCTTGAAATATTGATTCGAAGAAAGTCAAAAGTGAAAATTTCTCATTCTTGTCAATTCTATTGGACTTAATAATTAATTATTTTGGAATTTTAATATTGATGTTAAGGATAAAGGGGTTTAATAATAAGTCATTTAGATGTTTAAGCTTTACAAGGATGAACTTTGATTGATTTTGAGAATTTACTTTACAATAGGTAGGAGATGATCTGTGTAGCGCCTTTAATCTCATAGGATTCGAACTTATAAATTCTAACGAATCGTTTAAATCTAAATTACTCGTTAACAGCTTGACTGAGCCATCTTAGCTCACATTTCAGTAACAGCTTAAATTCATTCTCATTTTATGAAGTAGCAGCTCTAAATTCTAAAAAAAATCTATCAACACATGCTTCAAATTGAACCTCAATTTCATCCAATTGCGTCATCAAGCCTCACCCCTACCAGAACAAAAGTAATCCGATTTCCTCGAATAACCTTTAATTTTTATAAAATCACAAATGTGACGCCGAAAAGCAGTCACACCCGTCAGCTTAACTTTCTCCCAGATGTTGAAAAACTCAAGAATTTAAATATGAAATTCAAACTTTTCACCCCTTGTTTAAGGAACTTTCTTCGAATTCAGAAATTTTTAATTACTTTTTCATATTCATTTCCACAAATAAGAGCCCCCAAAAAAAAGTAAATAAGAAGCACAGAATCAAAATCTCTTTTTTTATGGCGAAAAATAACACAGAAATAATAATAATACTCATAATACTTAAACTTTCGTCTCTTATTTGCACAGGTATTATTAAGGGAGATGAAATTATTGTTATCAATGGTGCCATTGTGTCCGATTTGGATATGATGTATTTGGAGAGTGTTTTGCAAGAAGAGCAAGCTTTATGCATGATGATGAGGTAAGATGGAAATGAAATGAAAAAAAAAAATGCGAAAAGAAAGCGAGGGAAAGAAGAAGCCTGGAGAAGATTAAGATATTCCTTAATTACACATCCAATTTATCTTTTTTTCCTTATTCCATCTTCTTCTTCTTTTCGTTTGCTTGATCTATATGTCTATCTCACTTCCTAATCTACATTCTAAACGCACAACCACAACAAAATAATAATAATAATCACAATAATTACTTTTCAAACAAAAAAGGTCCTCTCGTGTTGAGCCACCGGATCTTGCTGGCATTTTACGTTCAACTGATGACATTATTGAGTCATTAGTTTGTCCACCACCACCATCAGATGCGGTGATGAGTGAGGAAATGATTTCAGGATTAATTGTTCCTGCGCCAAGTTGGAGTAAGCATTCGCATGCTAATCTAACGAAGTTTCTTCCTAATAACTCAAATTTCCTGCTCATCACAGAGCGACCAGGCATGGAACACCATGATTCAGTTACTTCGGATCAGCAGCTTATTGCTGAAAGTGGACGTCAAAAGGCTCAATCGCGTACGAGTAGCTTTGAAATTGAAAATTTATTAAAAACAGCAGAACAAGTCACAACTTATTGTCGTTCTCCACAAGAAACCAGAAAATCAAGTCCAACGGGATCTGTTACATCATCGGCATCGAATGCAGTCTTGACTCCATCACGTCAATTAACTGACGCAGAAAAATTGCGTAAAGTTATTTTGGAATTGGTCGATACAGAACGAGCATATGTGAAGGTAAAGATAGCTGATTTTAGAGCATTTTAAAGATCTTAATCACTTCCAAACTAGTCACAATATTTAATAAGTCGCAGACATTAGACGAATTAGAATCCACTCAAATTTAAACGTGCTAATCTCCTCATTATTCACAACCTGATTTTAAAATGCTGTGACGACGTGTGACAAGCTTAATAAAGTGCTTTAATTCTCAATTAATTTTCCTTAGACTTGTAAAATTTTCGAGACTTTGGAACCTTTTTGTTTCGTTCCTTGACATATTCATACACATTCGTATATGATATTCTTCCCTTTTTTGACATTTAACATAATCAACTCAAGAGGAGGAGAAAGGATTATGAGAAAAGGACTCACTCTCACTCGCTCTTGAGTCAATAGATATAAATAATTGGATAAAAATAAATTTTCATTCTGATTTTTTTTTTATATTCTTTTGTTGTTAACATTATATAGCATTTGAACAATCTACTCGAGTACTACTTGGAACCATTGAAGCGCGAAACGTTCCTCTCAAATGCTGAAATAACGGCTTTATTTGGCAACATTCAGGAAATTGTTACATTCCAGCGTCAATTTTTACAAAATTTAGAAGAAGCCTTAGAGATAGAGCCAGATTTTCATAAATTCGAACATTCTAGCCATTTCAGAGTAAGGATATTTAAATTTTAACCTTTACAGAAATTTTTATTCTTATCGCTATCCTTTTTATCCAACAGAATGTTCTCTTTGCTATTGGATCGGCATTTTTATACTATGTTAATCATTTCAAATTGTACTCTTCATTCTGTGCAAGTCATAGTAAGGCACAGAAAGTTTTACATCCAAGTAAGATTTTTTTCTTTCATTTCCTATTTTATTCCTTTACATCTTCAAGTATGAGAAATCAATAAAATTGAATTTTCATGCATGCATGAGCATTTAGAGTAAAAAGAATGAAAAGTTTCAATGCTTCGTTTTTTTTTCTTTCAACTCTTACACACATAAAAAAAATCCTTATAGATGAAGGCAATCAGGCATTACAGGAATTTTTACTGTCAAAGAATCCAAAGCAAGAGCACAGCAGCACATTAGAATCATATCTCATAAAACCAATACAAAGAATTTTAAAATATCCACTGTTGCTGCAACAATTGAAGAATCTAACAGATCCGTATGCGGATGAACATCAGCATCTTATTGAAGCTTTAAAAGGAATGGAGAAGGTGGCCGAGCATATAAATGAAATGCAACGAATTCATGAGGAATATGGAGCAATATTTGATCATTTGTTTAGGCAACACCAAAAGTCATGCAAACAACCAATCGATCTAAGTCCAGGTAGGTCTAAATGACATTATCTATCTTTTTTTACTGTGAGACACACACACATTGTATCTTACTCTGTGATTTTTTTGGTTTTTTATTAAAAAACAACATTTCCTTCCTTTTTTTTATTGCAAAATTTGAGATTCCATTGCTTGTTTAGGTGACTTGCTCTATTATGGTGGCGTTGAATGGCTCAATATATCCGATTTCCTTGGTAAAATAAAGAAGGGCCTGGAACTTCATGCCATGTGCTTTGTTTTCAAATCAGCAGTTGTCTTCCTATGCAAAGAACGTCTTCGACAAAAGAAAAAGTTGATGGTAAGTCACACGGTTCCTGTAAAATATTCATGTCCAAACTATACTCATTCATGCTATTTCCAGGGTGTATCAAACAAAAATGCTCCAAATGAAGTAGAAATAATTCGTTATCAAGTATTAATTCCTGTTACTGAGGTTCAAGTTCGTGCATCATCAGCCAAAGATATGGATTCACATTTCTTATGGGAACTGATTCATTTACGCTCACAACTTCAACGACGATCCGAGAAAGTTTACGTTTTATCAAATAGCACTGCTGACTTCCGTAATGCATTCTTAAAGACAATTCGTCAAATCATTCGTGAAAGTGTTCGCAACATGTCGATACCGATAAAGGAACGTGGTAGCATAAGTTCAGTATCATCTGCTGGCCAACCACACTTTTCTGGCAATTCGCAGACATTAGAGAGGCCAAAACAGACGTCAAACTTACAACAGGGATCGCAAACGTTAGGCAAACCGAAAAAGAAGAATAATAATAATCAACGACATAGTTCCGGTAATATCGATTATGACAATCTTCATGGAAGCTCACAGGAACAAGAGTATTGTATTGAACAAGATGAGGCACCGCCAGTTTTTAGAATTCGAAGTAAAACTGTTGGAGATGATGGCCCACCACCAGTTCCAAAAAGAACTACATCTGAATTGACTACGGAAAAAGATCCCGGTGTCAAATCGGAGGGTGAAGATGAGTCATTGATGGCTCATAGGTCTAAGTCCTTGGGCAGAACACCGAATCATTTAACTCTAAGGTATAAAAATATATTCAAATTTTAAAATAAATCAAAATTAATGAAAAAATTCTTTGTTAAAAATCTAGCACAACTTCAACACTTTCGGTTGGAAGTACTGGCAGTCAAGCACGTCTAATTCAATCTTCCCACGCACCATCACATTATCAGCCTATTTTAATGAAGGATTTAGGTAAGAAAATAATTCATTAACAAGCAATTATGACGAATAGACAAAGAAGATTTCATTACTTTCCCCCAACCGAACTCCTTTATATAAATTTTTTCAAATATATCTCTAAATTGAAATAGAAATGAGAAGTAGAAACATTTCCCTTTAATGTCTCATGTATATCTATATCTGACATATTTATTACACACAAATATGTCATGTTCTACTTCTTCTTCTTCCTTATAAATCCTTTTTCATCATGAATACATTCATTAAAGAATAATTTCCTTATAAATACATCACAAAACATCATTTTTTTTCATCATATTCATATTAAAGTAATTAGAATATGAGCATATATGTATAAATTGTGTATATAAAATTAGGTAAGACATCCTCAACTGATTCGGGAGAGTCGATAAGTTTTCATACAGAAAAATCCTCTGATTCGACTTCGGGCGTTGACGTTAATGATGATAACTATCAATTGACTGATGAGATTGTCGATAAACAATTAGATGATTTAAAGCGTGAATGTTTATCGTATGAGACACGTGATGTGGCAAAGTTTATGGAAAAGTTAAAGACTCAATCTGAGTCAATTGATGGCGGGGATGGGAGTCAGGATGAGAAGAAGGCAGATATTGTAATGCTTGAGAAAAAATCAACAAGACGTGAGTCGGAATCGAGAAAAGAAATGGAAATGATTGCGAAACAAAAGGAATTGAAGAGTGAATCGTTGGAGAAAAGGAAAGGAAGTGAGAGTACAAATCATGTACAAGTTAGATCACAAAGAAAATCATCGCCTTCGCCTACGACAAGAAAGCCAAAAACAATAGATATGGACACATTGTCCCCCAAACCACAAGACGTGGATATTAGTCAAGTTCAAATAATCAAAATAAAGTCACCAGGCGGTAGTCGTAAGTCATCACGCGAAACTTCACGTAATAATTCCATAGAACGTTCACCATCAAAGGAGAGACAACAGCAGACATTAAAGAAGCCAGAAGGTGGTATATTGAAAAAGCCATCGCCAAAGTTTGGCAAGGCAAGTGAATATAAGCTATCAAACAGCTTGAGACCAGACAGTTTCATTAGTCCATTCAGTAGCTTCGAGTCAAAAAGCGACAAATTATCTCCATCATCTGAAATATTGCCAGCAATTTGCTCGCAAAAAGACACACAAAAGCGAGCATCATTTTCGGATTATGAACGAGACCCGCAAGATTACCATCATCAAGCAATGAAATCACGCTCATTAGAAGGCAGCTTAGAGCATCTTAAGTCAGCATTGAAACATCAAAGTAGTTATGAACAATATGCTTCATCACCAATTCATGCCGGCAATGACTCACATAAATATTACAGCTTATCTGCTCAACACTCAATTGAATCTAATCGATCGCCCGTACGATATTGCTCACCCATACCACCACAGTATTATAATGAGCCATTTTATGAATATCCGCGACAAAAGGCACAAAAACGTGAGTCTCGTTCACTTGAACGACCAGATTTTTCACGTCAAAGCTCATCAGAATATGAACGATATTATGAGGAACCGCCCTATCCTCAACATTATACGCAGGCACAGAAAAATCAACACGAACAAGAGCAGCAGCAGCGTCATAGACGTCATAGTGTCTATGAACATCGCTCGATTCCTTATCACTATTATTCAATGTCTCCCGATGATTATCTCATGCCTTCATCTGCTTCTCATTATGAGCAGCCATCAGCATGTGTTGATTGTTACTATCAAACGTATCGAAAACCGTCACATTCACATTATAATATACAACAACCTCCGCCTTTGCCACAACGCAATTCATTAACATCTCAGCAACAACATAATCAGCAGCTACCACCGCCAATACAATCAAAAAGTCCACAATCACAATCACAATCACGTCAACGTCAATCTCGGTCACGTAAAAAGCTCTCACGTCGAATGTCTTCCAATTATTTCAATAAATCCTTTGACGATGATGACACACAAAATGCTTCAACTGGCAAACAATCGCACGATAATGAAGAGATTCGCGTTTAATTTTTTTTTTTCATATTCTATCCTATATCTATCTTGCAAATGTTCATACATTATGAATGCAATATGTCTCCTATATCTCTATTAGAAATTATTTTGTCTCTTTCACATACACAAATACACACATTCACAAAAATTATCTTGATATAGATATAAAGAATAATAAACCGTCACCATCCTCCACCTCCTTTCTTTTTCGTACCACTCTTAAGATCTAAGCAAATATTTTATGTTTCACATTTTTTTTTCTTTCTACAATCAAATGAAATTACTCATCGGGGGGATTGAAGTTTATTCAATTTGTAGATTTGATGAAAGGAGATTGATTCATTTTCTGATTTGAGAACCATATGATTCCTCAATTTTTCTAACGGTTTTCGATACAAACTCTTAATGGCAAATGAATGGTTCTCAAGTTGAGGAAGGAGAGATTTCCTTGGATGGAACCTGATAGATTATCGTATAGCTTTTGAGGATTAGATTTTAGTGGGAATCGAACTCACATTTTTTTTTTGAAAAGATGATCTGTTGCTTTATTATTTGACTATAGAGGTCTTACTCTAGCACTGGCAGATTTCCTTAAATATGGCTCGATAATTCAGATCTTATAGAATTTAGTTTACACCAAGTAAGGTTCCATCTAAACTTCATTATCAGTCACAATATGAAAATGACTAAGGAGTCGTAAAGCGGAAAATTTTAAGAATAATAATCAAGAATTTTCCATAAGAAGCAATAACTCAGAACTCAATCATCCCGACCTCTCGAATTAAAGAATTTAAAGTCATAAGACGCTCACAACTTGAAGAACATAAAATATTAAATATCTTGTAGATTTGAGATTTTTTAAAAGAAATCAATGTTAATAAACTTCAAGATCCCCGCGTGAAAATCTGAAAAATGTATGTATACTTCCATCATCACAAAAACACACCCCACCACCTTCCTTACCACTGCCACATCACATCACTAATTGCACCTACTTGATACTGTTTAATATTTGATATACATCCATAAATCTATCGATAAAAAATGATGATATGATGTTGAATGAGACACGAATACGTCACTTAAAATCAATCATCCGATGATGTTGATGATAGTCATATAGTACTCACACTTAATATGATAAAAATAAATTACACACACACAATTTTACACACACACAGACACAAGATAATTTTTTTAATACTCTAATAATCACTTAGTATGTGTTTATAAATTTTTTTGACATCTTAAATACAAATAAATTATGCTAAAAGGCTCAAAATGGAGATATTGACATGAAGAAAGAAAAAAAAGAGAAAATATAAATCAATGCTCAAAGCATAGAGATAAGGTTGATGATACTAATAATTGAGAAATATTACATTAGAAGACTTTTTTTTATGTATGAAAAGAAAGAAATATGAAAGATTTTTTTCTCTAAATCAATCATTCAATCAAACAATCAATCATAATTAAAGATTAATATATTTGATAAATATTGACATTATTGAAAAATTCTATATATGACATAAAATATATATTTTAAGCTTTTTTCCGTGAGAAATCTTTTTTTAAAGCTCACGGCCTTATTTTGTGTGTCGAAATCAAAAATAACATATATTTTTTTTGCTTATTATCTAGCTGTGAATCTCCTTGCAATATCTTTACTCCAATTTCGACAATAATACGAGAATAACCTGAGAAATTGGATTAGAATCATATTGCCAGGAACATTCACTAAACTCAAAAGCAGATAAAGTCACACATTTGACATTCATTTGATCTGTGGATACATTATAGATTTGTTTTTAGAACCTTTCAATTCACTACTCAAAAATGAATGTCTAATTTGATACTTTGTTGTTTTTAGAAAAATGCAGGAACCGATTGAGATTTGGATTGACTTGAAATGAGCTCAAATATGCATAAAGACAAAGACTCAAAAGAATTATAGAATCAAAATCTCAGGTGCTACTTAAAAGAGAAGATTTTCTATACAAACTTTGAATTAAACATTTATTTTGTCGTGGTTTTTGGTACTTTGAGTGATGGATTAGGTTTCGGATATCCTGAAGAAATTTAGACTGACTGTAAGCTAGTATACAAGATGAAGTTCGTCTAGAGATTAGAATTTTGGTCAAAAAAATCACCGATTATTACAGAATTTCAAATTCTTATAGTTAAGCTAGTCTTGATTAGAATTTTTGAAGCTCTAGATGAGGTTAAGGTTTAAATTAAAAGATTCTTGAAAAAAGTCATTACTGTCTCTTGGGTAAAGCCCAATGTCTGTAAACAAGATCTTATTTTTCGATTTCAAAGGATCTTATTTTTCGAACGCGGGAAAAAAAATTGAATTCAAAATGTTCGTTATGAAAATTTGTTTACATTTTCAATTCAAAAATTCGAAATTTTTTAAAATGGTTATGTTTACAGACATTGGGGTAAAGCTTAGTTTGCCTGTTTACAACCTTCATTTTGAAGCTATTGAAGCTGTAAAATAATAGAATAAACAGTCCAAAATGGAGTTAACCACTTTAATTGGATATCTACAAGATACTTTTTGAGATAATCTTTGAAATGGTTTCAGATCTATCTTGTTACTAATTAAAGGAATGGATTCCTAAGAAATTTCTAGTTGGATAAAGTCAAATTCTAGATAAAGTAGAGTCGCTAAGACTTATCAATGCAAAATATGAGTCGTTCTTAAGCTTTTGATGATAAGTTTACTCTGTAAATTTACCCAAGAAATCAAGTTTCACAAGAATCAAGCTTCAAATGACTAAAGATTGAATAAATTCAAACAATCTGTAGGAATCGACATAAAATCAAGAATTATGTTCAAACAGCATTGACCTATTAAACATTCCACGATTTTCTGTTTTCATCTCCAACACAAAGTCAATTGAGAACAGTTAACTCCATCACTCAAAAAAAGTTAAACACCCAAGCCAATCCAAAAGCTTCCAAAACGAGAGAAAGAGGCCTCAACAATTAGGGATGAAACTTGAGTGCCATAAAAAAAATTGATAATCCGTTCTATTCACCAACATTTCAACAAAACAATCTCAAGCAGTTCCGCATGAAACAAACGACTTTTTTTTTCTCTTCTATAATTATCATTCAATCTATAACATGATGATGATGATAGTTGTTGTGTTGTATATATTTAATCTAGTCTAATGGTTATTCACACCCTTCAAAGCGTCCCTAACAGCAAAAAATAAAAAGCTCAAATTTTTTTATGATCGTCCAAGTAGTTTCCATAATCCTTTAAATCCACCATTTCTTCCCTTAATGTCTCTTAAGTGCCCCCATTCTATTTTTTGTAATTAGTTGGAACGAATTTTATTTTTCTTTTTCTTTGCTTCCTTTCCTTTAACTGAACACAAAACACTTTCAGTTGAAAAAGGGTTCACTTCTCCTTCACGACTGGCTTAAATTTCTTATTCTTATTTAGATTATTTTTTATGAAGGGTATTTTTTTACTGCTTTATGGCTGTGTTTGTGTATACATTATGTATTTTTTTTATTTAATAAATGATCAGAGATAAATCAGATTTGTAAAAGTTAAAGAGCGTCAATTAGAAGAGCTGAAAAATTAACCCCCAAGAGTTTTATTTTTTATATTTTTGAATTGTGAATAGAAGTAAAAATTCTAAGCAGCACATAGAAGAATGAATATTTTTTGAGGTGAGGGCAGGGGTAGGCAAAAAAAGCAATCAACCTTAGGTGCTATGAATATTAATATACAATATTTTTTTTTGTTAGATTTCTGTTGTTAAGACATTGTTGAAACTATTTTTTTATTAGTGTATACCTATAGTACGACGTAACAAACAACAAACTGAGAGATGATTTATTTTTTTCAAATTTATGAGAATGCCTATAAAATATACAACTTAATCTATAACGTTGGGCATACTATTGTTAATCATTTTTCTTGGCCTTCTTGTTACTATATTATTATATTTAGATAGAAAATATGCGATACGAATATTAAAATTAATCAAAAAAATATGATGAAGAAAACATAGGAATAGCTAGTTGAATTAGGTTATGTGAAATTAGTTTTTCTCATTGATCCAAGAAAATTATTGAGGGGTTAATTTTTCAACTCTTTCAGACTCTTTTAGAGATTCCAAAGCATCGTGTGTCGTTTTTTGATGTCGTCTTACTAAAGAATTTAATTTTTTTTTATGCTCGGAACTTCTACTTTTTATTTTTATTGTGAATTCGTGATAATTGTTGTGATTTTGATTAAATTGCCATCATTTAGGACCTTTTGTAATCTAAATAACATGTAAATAGTTTGGTATAGTTTGAATAATATCTGAGCAGATCAGGACATGCTTTGAAGTACTGAACATATAAAGCGATTAATCATCCACCGATTAATTACCAACTTAATAGAAGAATGATTTTGATATCTTAAATAGCAATAACTTTGTTACTGTTTGATAGGAACTTCCAGCTTTTAAAAATGCCAAAGCTCTTGGACTTCATAAGCCCAATTCAATGTAGAGATAAGCTCACAAAATCATATTAAACAAGTTGTTTCAAACAACTATGTTGACAATATCCTGCAACACAGTCAGTTTTCTCTAGTCTTCTATTATATGCTTAGCTAGGAGGACTTGATTTAACTTGTTCGAAAAAAAAAACAATTCAAATTAAATTCAGTAAAATTGACGATCCCTAATAAAATATTTGAAGAACTTTAGTTCTTAAATTACTTCAATCAACTTAAATTAAACTCAAATCAATTTTTATAAACTTCTAATACAGGAGATTTCAAGCTTTAATCCGCAGAGCTTCTGCGAAAAAAAAATACCCTAAAAGCGCAAGTCGGTTAATTGATCAAAAATCCAACTCTATTAACCGAATTATGCTTTCCAGGTTAGAACAGGATGTAAGTAATACTATAGAAATCGAAATAGCTTCTATGGTTAGCAAGTGATCTAATCTGTTTCAGAAGCTATGCCTCTGCTTTGTTCAAACCTAGCTCAAACCTTGATTGTCACCTCTTTTTAAAACAACTGTCAATTTCAAGAATTGCCTAATCTGCTCAGAATATGTCTCAGAAATGTAATTATTATGATTTTTGTATTGTAAGTTGTAAGTTTAGAATCGACTGATTGCATTTTAAGACTTAGAACATTTTGTCATACTTTGA